CATAAAAAGCGGCATGATGCAGGATTAGAAAATGGTTAGTTTTCGGTATGTTACACCCCTTCTCCTCTATTCTCTTCTCCCCGACGTGCCCAAGCGAGCGAGGAGCAAAGGCGATGGTAACGATAGTATGCTGGTCCGGCGAAGAGAATGTCACGTAACTACGCAGCTCCGTCAATTCATCGGCTAGGGTGCGGTGCGCAAGTAGCGGAGCTGTCGCGACGACAAGGAGGAGCTGGCAAGCGTGAGCCAAGGCACACGCGGGCAAGGATTAGTCTCGGGTGGTGACGGTGGTGATGCCGCTTCCTGGTGAAGGGTCGTGCAATACCATGCAGCTCTTCCTGGTGACTTAAGGCTCTGTACTCTAGTAAGTAACCGGATTGTTGAGAGCTTAATTGATTTTTTGGAATTTGGGAATGATGGTCTCTAGGGTTTCTTGAATTTGGGAATTTAGTTGAGGTTTTTCGAATTGAGGATCTAGGGAGTTTCAATCTGCTTCATCCCTAATATCCCTCTCTGAGTTTCTTAGATTTAGCCTCCAATCTGACATCCCCTCTTTTTAATTTCTAGCCGAACCTCGGCCTTTATCCTCTGGGCAATGGATCTGCCTACAGCTGCCCGTAGCAAGCCATACGCTGTCGCCGCCTAGAAAGTACCATGTCACATATTAAGCCATCTGCAGACCAGTCGCCACTACCAATATTGTCATTAATCACCAAAACTACACAAAAGAGTCTACATGCTTTCACATGCGATGACCCAACAATAGCAACGGCTAACCTCCTCCTAATTTGGCTTTCCCACTAGTTTTATTGCTCCACTACACATTCCAACAACAGCACTGTGACCTTTCCATTTCAGCACATTTTGGTTTCCGAATTCGATGCACCACTCCCCATTCTGAGAACCCTCCGCGGCCTCATGTATAGTCTGCTCTAGGTTTAGGGTGATTTCTTGGCCAAACTTTTTTAAATTCTGACAGGGAGCAGCATAAGTAAAAACTTCCTGGTGGTTTGCACCGAATATACGTAGCACATGTGAGAAAATCTAATTGTTGTATTTTGCTGTTTTCTAATCTATTAGATCGACCCTCTCATGGGGTATATATAGGAGTACATAGAAGATAGAGACTTGGAGTACAATACAAGTAAGAGTAGATAGAGACTTGGAGTACAATACTTCTAACATTCCCCCTTAGTCGTAATGGGAGCGAAGCGAACAATTACGACTAGATTTGAAATCTTTTATTTCTTCATCTTCTTTGACTCACCATCATCGGTTCAATCTCTGATGGACGGTCCTCCACTTGGTGCATGCGTCCCCTTCTGTGTCGTCCCTTGACTCTTCTTTATTCCCTCCCGTAGTCATAGCGGGAGTGCCGTGGACGATACCGATGACACGGACGCTTTGACTGGAGTTTCCGTCAATGATTTTTGTTGTTGACGTATGTCGATGTAGCCGATCATGTAGTAGCCGTGGTCATAGTAGTCATGGTAGTTGGTGTAGCCGCAAATAGCCGAAGGGGAAAAAAATATTTATGCCGTGGTGTCAAGACGAAAACTGCAATTGTTAGCATCTTGCACCTTGTAGATATCAAAGGATGCCATTGGGAACGTCTTGTATATGTGAGAGGACGTCATTGGCTTTGAGGCCACCACTTTGGTTGGTCCTTCTGCATCGCGTAGCAGTCATCACAATAGTGATGCCGAGTTGAAGCAGTCGTTGTCGTTGTAGATGACGTGATCGATGCCGTCATCGGTGACGCGGTCGTTGCCGTTGTAGAGGATGCGGTTGATGTCGTCGATGATGAAGCGTCTTGCAGATTAATCTGTCAGAGGACGCGAGGTGTCCATATATGTGGACGAGTCAGCGGTGGCGTGTTACCATGTTGATGAAGATAACCAGCGAAGTAGGATCGGTGAAGACGATTATTTCTTGTTGATCGATCTGATGCTTGAATTGGCTACAGATTGGTGGATGATGGTTGTGATTGCTTCTTCTACTCAGAAGGATCATAGGCTTTTATGTGGCTAATGAAGGAATTGATCTAATGCTAATATTGGTAAAAGAGTAAAATGCACTATGGGTACTAAAACTTGTAATGTGGGTTCACTTTAGTCACTAATCTTATAAATTGCTCAAACAAGCAAGTCAACTTGTAAAAATATTATAGAATATATGTAACATGAAGTATTTTTGTTAAATTAAAAACCCTATTTGTGGTAACGTTTATAAATGAAATTAATATGGCATCAAACTTAGCACATGATCATCCCACTTAGCATATGTTTTCTGTGATTTGCACCTTGGAAACAAGATAGGTGTCTTGTTTGAGCAATTTGCATGATAAGTGACTTAATCACACCCAACAAAACAAGTTGTGGTACTGCTGGTGTACTTTACTCTTGGTAAAATCTAATCTATGGATTATTTGTGGTAGCTAATGATGTGGCGGTGCCCCCAGGGAGATTATGGAGATCTCATCTACCCGGAGCGACGCGCGGACGGAAAGTACGATCGGATTAATCGGCGTTGGTATGCGGCTCTGATACCATGTGAGAAAATCTAATTGTTGTATTTTTGGTGTTTTCTAATATTCTATTAGATTGACCCTCTCATGGGGTATATATAGGAGTACATAGAAGATAGAGACTTGGAGTAAAATACAAGTAAGAGTAGATTTATCTTTGGGATTCTATCTCTAGGATATATCTTATCTCTAGGATTCTATCTGTAAGATATATATATCTTATCTCTATATTTGTATTTGACTATTATCCTAACTAACATATCTATACTTCTAACAGCGCCAATGCCATTGTCCGGTTGTGCCGATGATGCAGCACACCTGTGGCACAACCAATGTCAGTAACCTACAGGAAGTCATTGAGCATATGCCCATGCATATGAGAGCTTCGCAGGTTGGAACTTGCAATGGTTTCTGGTGGCCCACGGAAACAAATATGGTCAATTGAATATCAGAGTTGGAGAGTTGTTGGTTCCTGTTACTAATCCATAGCGATATGTTCAGTGCCAGTTCATAGCAGTACCACCACCGATTCTTATGGCCATTTTTGGAGAAGCGTATTCTGTTCCATTGGCCTTGTGCACGGCTTCAAAAGCAGACCTAGGTTAGATTTTCTATTTTATTAAACATGAAAATGTTTGTTTTATTTTTGCACAAAGGGCAACAATGAACTTAGCATATGCAATGATTGTCTGCCAATGCTAAATTCATTTTGTTAAGCTTCAATTGTGTACAAAACAAGACAAACTGTCACTTTCGTATTCCCAAGAAAAAGAAGGCTTTGAGACAAGTCTATATATACCCTGTTCAGTGTTGCCATATTTTGCCCATATCAGAAAGCAAGAAGTATAGAGAAAGTAGAGAAAACAAACTGATACTCTCAAAGTTTTGGTTCACTCAGCCATGGATCAGAGGCATGCTACTCTTTGCTTTCTCCTAGCACTTGTGTTGATTGGCAATGCTTCTTTTGCTACTGGTTTTGTGCACAACTTCTCTCTCTTTTTATATCTCTTTTTCTGTCTCTCTGTGGATGTTAACAATCTATACTGCCAAATGTTTTTTTATGTTATTCCATTATTTGTGATTATTATGGTGCGAGGTGCATGTTAAATTTACTAATGGATTGATCTTTATGTGTTATCTATATATTTTACCAGGAGAATGCTGGGAAACAACATCTTATAGTCCAATCTGTCTAGGACTTTTGTGCAAGGCGACTTGCTGGATTGGTGCGAAAGCAATAAACACAAAAGTCATGGAAGCCACATGTAAAGGATCAGTGGTTAAGTGGGTGTGTCACTGTCGTTATTGTGACAAAAAATAGATTTGAATGTTGAAAGAGAACTATTGGAAACATATATAACCCCATGCATGTACTTTACATTTTTATGACACTCTTCATGGATGGGATCAATAATGTCAATCCATGCGTGTGTGTTTTGTTAGTCTCATCTGTGAGTAGATAATCTCACTACTCAATGCATGTAAGAGGAAATGAGTGAGTTGAGTTCTACTCCCACTGTTTTTTATATGAGGTTGATTAGTTCATTTTTAAATAATCCTAAATGATAATGGAGGGATTACAGATTAATGCTGTAAATTGTAAAAAGCCATTTAAGTATGACTCCAGGTTGCATCACACATGTAGCTCTATGTGTGTGGATGTAGGTATGCACACATATCGTTCATTTCGTCTTCTTGCTCTCTTTGTCAATGTTCCCATCTTCCAATTTTTTGGTCTTTCTCAGGAAGTCAAAACAGAGACATCATTTGGTGTGCTCATGGTTTTAATGAAAGGCAAAGCCCATTTTCTTTTGCATCACAAGTTTATACTAGCTTCCACTATGGCATGTCATGTGTATGTCACCTCTCATATAGTTCCTGGATAAAGACTACAAAACCTGATAAATTATCTCTAGGGCTCAGAAACATTGTTTTTTCCCCTAGCAAAGCTTGTGACAAATTATCTTTAGGCCTCAGAAACATTTTTTGTTCTGACAAAGCTTGTGACTAGGTGTATCCACCACCCTTGGCCAGATCAGTTCTTTTTTTTCCCATACTAACCAAACAATGGCCAGAAAAAAAAAGTTCTCCCTTTGATCAAAATATTTCAATCAGAATACGCAAAAGACTGGCATTTTGGAATTATCTATTTGTCATGTTTTAGTTGCTTATTTTTTTCATCTCTATCCATTTTTCTAACTTTATCAATATGCAAAATGATTCATAATAATTTGTTTTCCTATTGTTGTGAAACAGAGATTGTTCTAAACAAAACTTTTATGAAACTGCACTTTGTGGTTTATACCTTGGTATGGAAATAAATTATCATATATACCAGTATAGGAATACATCTAGCTAAATCCATGCCATAAAAAAAGCAAACAAAACATACTCGTTGTAGTTATCTAATAGCACTTGGACTGTTGTCTTTCCCATAAAAAGACTACTGAGTCATCACTATATATATCCTCCTGGTGTAGCAGCATTTTGCCCATATCAGAAAGAAAGAAGTAGACGGAGAGTAGAGAAAACAAACAAAATAAGCTCAAAGTTTTGGTTCATAGCCATGGATGGGAGGCATGTTATCCTTGGCCTTCTCATAGCACTTGTGTTCGTTGGCAATGCTTCTTTTGTTATTGGTTTGTGCTCCGCTATTCTCTCTCCCTCTCTCTCTATATCTATCTAATTCTGCATGTTAAGATTGCCTTATGGCTATTTTTGTTGGATATTCCAGTGTCAAACATATTCGATGTCATTAATACTCCCTCAGTTTTTTTATGTTGGTCAGTTCATTCTTGAACTAACAAACATCATATAAAAAAAAGGGATGGAGGGAGTGTGATACGAGATGCACGATAACTTAAGAAATATGTGGATGTTTATGTGTTATCTATATATTCTTGCAGGAGAATGCTGGGAAACAACATCTAGTAGTCCAATATGTGTGGGGTTTATGTGCAAGGCTACTTGCTGGATTGGTGCAAAAGCAACAAATGGGAAAGTCATAGAAGCCACATGTACTGGATCAGTGATCAAGAGCGAGTGTTACTGTCGTTATTGTGACAAAAACTAGAGTTGAAATTATGTTGAACCAGATGTACCAGAGACATGTATCAAATCCCCATGTATGTACTTTACATTGGGATGAAACTCTCTATAGATGTGATATCAATAATGGTGATGCATGCATGTGTGTAGTTTGTATCAGATGTGATAATATCAAAATAGAATACATGTAAGAGTTGAGTGAGTTGACATTATGCTTCTGTGCGACTAGTACTGTTGTGAAATGTCATAAGCCATTTAAGCATATGTCCAGGTTGCATCATACACCTGGGTATCTTTATATCTACTGTCATATTGCTCATACGTTGCAACATGATTTTAATTAAAGAATATCATGAACCTGATTATTGCTGTGATTTTCATTTTGTGTTTTATATATATATAGGGATGCGCTAAACCACACCCTGGGTGCGTTATAACTAAAACGCTCCCCTTACATACACCCCACCCACCCAACCCCCCCCCCCCCATCCCCCCAAAACCCCGCACTCCTTCTCCCATCCCAATTTTTCCCGCAGTCGATACCCTTTGCTTCGTTCTTTTTTTCTTTTTTTCATTTTTCCCCTTCCACACTTTGTTCCGCTTGTCCCTCAGTCCGCTCCCTCGTAGGCCTGTACGCCTATAAGTAATATGATTACTGTAGCCATTTACCAAAGAGTAAAGGGATTGCTAATAGGCCCTCTCTAGATGGGCCTGTAAGTAAAAGATTTACTCGCGCTTAAGCCCGTGAGTAAAATAATTACTAACATCTTAAATAAGGCCCTATAGGGAACCGTACTACTGATCGTTATAATTTTTATCCTCGATGGATCATTTACAATAGAAATACCTGCATTTCTCTTTATTTTTCACAATTTAATCTTGCTAATAACACAGTAAATAGATTACTATTTGGACAATTTAATCTCTTTAATAACTCAGTAAATAGATTACTATTTGGACGGGTGCTTCTCTCAATAATAAATCAGTCCCACTCATGGTCTTTAGTAAATAAATTATTACACACGAAATATACTAAGTACGTCTCCCTATCAGTAAATAAATTACTCTTTGGTTATACACAATTTTTACTATGGTGTTTTATCAGTAAATAAATTTCTCACAATTTAGCAGTAAAAACTTTTGATTTAGCAACAAATATTACTCTAGTAAATGGATTACTTTTAATCTAGCCATTGGTTTTTTTTTACTTTTCCATGCTTCACTCAGTAAATTGATTACTTTTGATATAGCCATACCAACAATGACTCTGGTATTCTCTTGGTAAATAAATTACTCCCAGATAAAAACGTACTAACACATCGCTCTAACAACAAATTTACTTCAATCTTCTCTCATAAAAATAAATTACTCCCTGGCTACTACAGTAACATATTTACCAAGCCAAAAATAAATTACAGCTACATTTCATGTTTACAAAGACTCGGGGGTACACATACATATTGATTGTACAAATGAAAAAACTAGATGTTGCTGCTCCAATTGGATCGGCGGAGGACAAATCGTAGCCGACGATGGCGCATGTGCCAACAACCGTAGAAGTTTTGTTTGGAGGCCTTGTCCCAGCCTGCAATCAAACATTTTGTTTGGAGGCCTTGTCCCAGCCTGCAATCAAACATTGTGCAATTAAGCGAAATCGAAACCAAGATCAATCAATATTCCCACACTTGAGAATAGAGACGAACTAAAGCATTACTGCACACTCAGATGATGGTGTTGGTAGTGCTAAGTACTGATTTTTGACAATGCAGAAAAACAACGATGGGACACTGTTATGTATATCATCCTGTAGATTTAAGTTGTGAATATCTATATTTTTATCCTGAAGATTTATTTATTTTTTCATGATGCAGATGTTCAGTTCCTGTCGCAACACCGAATTTTCACAAGCTGTGTGAACTGATGACACATACATGTGGACACATGAACACTCATTTAATATTAATTTTACATAGAAGGCATGACTAATTACCGACAAATCTTTCATGATTAATTTCATCCTGCATGAGGCACACATGCACATGATCAATCGATCTGAGATCTTACTTAAAGCAGAAACCATGCCAATTTTCACTCTTTATAAAATAAATACCTAGTTAATTGATGCATGAGGACATGAATTGTTGTCCATGAAATTTAGGATAGATTCTGATACTATCTAGATAGGTACAGTCGTACAGAGTCATCTGGATCAACTAAAAACACTTAATCCATAGCCTTTATATACGATTGCCAGTGCTCCGGTAGGACATGCCAGTATCAACTAAAAAGATTCTTCTGTAATTGCAGTCAAAGGCATGAAAAACTAGAAACTAGAATTTGTGAAGAAAGGCTAACAGAGTAAACAAGCGTAGAGAAATTAAGAACAGGGAGTGCATGCGATCGTCAACGAAATATGCAGCTAGATCAGCACACAGCAAGATTGATGGCCTACACTGGTTCTGAGAAAGGAGCTGAGCGCTGGCTTTCCTCCCTCCACTCCATCTGCCAGGCAGCACTGCCTCGTCCTCCACAGTCCACACGGCTCCGTGGAGAAGGTTGATGTTGGATCTGACTCACCTCAGTGAGAACTTGGGAAACGTGTGTGCTCTGATCGGGAAACCTGCAAATCTATGGAAACAATAAAATTTGGGTGCACTTTCGTTTGCATTCTGAATATATGCACATGAAAACAGGAGCAAGGGAAAAATCCATAAGCATGGAAAGGAAAGTAAAAAAAAAGCACGAGAAAGAGGATCAGATCGGCATGGCAAAGCCTAGTCTAAGATCCGTTACCTTTTCATGGGAGTGGAGCTTGGGTCAGCGACGGGCCTGGTTCTTAAATCGATGTCCATCACGGCAATTTCTTGGCATGTTGCACGGACCGCTGCCTCCTCCTTCCTCATGCATCGCACAATGGAGAAGATCGACACAACCACCACCATGCGTCGCTGCCTCCTCCTTTCTCATGTGCCGCTGCCCTATGCCGTCGTGTGCCACCTTCAGCAAGTGAACATCGGTGCCAGGATGGGAGAGGATCAGAGGAGAAAGAAGAGACCGAAGGGGGGAAGAGATGGGAAGGGGGAACAAACAGGGTGGGAACCTGTTCGCCATCGCCATTGACCGTAGATGCGCCGCTATCTCCGACCGATTTCACCCATAACCCGCCACTGGAGGATGCCGCCGCCACCAACCTTCGCCCGTGCTCTCTCCCTCTTGCTCGATCCGGGAAAAACAACGTGGAAGTGGATGATATCAGATCCAGGAAAATAGGATCGATGGTTGGTTGGTTGTATCCTAATATGAATATACGCATAATAGCTAAGTAAATAGATTACTGGTGATTTAGTTCGGTGCGGTAGTACGTTATGCCTATGGAGAGGGGGTGGGGTGGTGTACGGGGAGGGGGGGGGGTGGGTTGCGTTTTAATACAACGCACCCCATCTGTATAGTGTATACGTGTGTATATATATATATATATCATTTTTAGTTCCTACGTATATTTGTTACTAACATGTGAGTCCTCTAACTCTACAGTTTTTTCCATTCCAAAAACAGTAGTGGATTTAGTGGCAAGTGATTGATATGTAGAACCTCTGACCCCACACTATCTTTTTCTTTATTAAGAAAGTAGGGAGTTTGTGGTTGGGATGATCACAGATTCACCACCGACCCTGCTCTATATTAAAAGAGTATAGATATCTACTTACACCGACCCTGCTTTTGTACTCCCTTAGTCAATACCCACTATCTTTGTTTTTGTCTTTTCTCAGGAAGTCCTCAACAACATCACTTGTGAGCTCATGGATTTAATGAATAGGAAAGAGCTTTTCGTTGCATTCTTTATTCTGCGTTGTTGTTAGTTTTTTTTCTTGAAATAAGCAAAACTCCATCTTGCCCTTAGTCATGTTTGTTTTCAGTTCAGATGTACATCCCTATTGAAATGAATGGCATAGTTATAGTGAATGCCGATTCTTACGGAAAAATTGATAAAGCCAAGCTAAAATGTATTCATTTGTTCAGCCAACTCCCATGTTCTGTTGTTGCAAATCTTTATATCTATTTTCATATTGCTCATATGCTATGATGTGATTTTAACTAAAAGAATATCATTAACCTGATTATTGCTATATTTTCATTTTGTGTATATATATATATATATATATCAGTTTTTAAATTTTGCCTATATTTGTTAGTAACATGTGAGTCCTCTAAGCCCATATTTTTTTTCCTTTTCCAAAATAGTGGTGGAATTAGTACCAAGTGGTTGACATGTAGATCCTCTGACCCCACGCTATCCTTTTCTTTTACTTAGAAAGTAGGAAGTTTGTGGTTGGGATGGTCATAGATTCACCACCATCCCTGCTCTGTTTTAAATTATTATAGATATATATATCTACTTACACTGTTCATAATTCGTTTTTATATTCCCTTAGTCAATACCCGTTAACTTCCATTTTTTGGTCTTTTCTCAGGAATTCCACAACGGCATCACTAGGTGAGCTCATGGTTGAATGGCAAAGCTCTATTCCTTGCATTCTGTCTTATACGGTGCTGTTACTTTTCTTTGTCGAGATAAGAAAACTCCATCTTGCCCTTAATCTTTTTTTTGTTGTTTTCAGTTCAGGTATTCGCCCCTGTTGAAATGAATGCCATAGTTATAGGGGCAGTCGATTCCTATGGAAAATGGATCAAGCCAGTTAAAATGTATTCATCTATTCAGCCAACTCAATATTCTACTCTTGCAAATGTTAAAATTGCCTTATGGCTATTTTTGTGGTGATATTCCAGTGTTCGAACATATTCAATGTAATTAATACTTTCTACTTGTATGTTGGCCAGTTCATCCTTTTTATATGACATCAGTGATCAAGTGCGAGTGGTACTATCGTTTTTGTGACAAAAATTAGAGTTGAAATTAAGTTGAACCATATGTACTTCAGACATATATCAAATCCCCATTATTGTACTTTGTATTTGGACGAAACTCTTTATGGATGTGATATCAATAATGATGATGTATGCATGCATGTTTGTGTGATATGTAGCAGATATGTTAATGTCAAAATAGAATACATCTAAGAGAAAGTGAGAGAGTTTAGTTCAGGCTTTTGTTCTGCTAGGTTGTGAAATGTTAAAAGCCATTTAAGCAACGTGATTTTAACTTAAAAAAAAGCATTAACCCGATTATCACTATTATTTTCTTTTTTTAAGATAATAGAATATATTTCCAGCTTTTACTCAACGAGCTATAATCAATTATTGCACCAATTTGCCCATAAGCGTTCACACGCCAAGGAGTCCACAAAAACACCCCAATTTAACATAAAGCAAACACAATATCTGCATATCTTATTTCTTGTATATATCATTTTTCAATATCTGCATGTATTTCTTACTAACGTGTGAGTCCTTTGACCCCGACAGTTCTTTTTCCTTTCCAAAAAGAGTAGAGAGTTTAAATAAGAAGGTAGTAGAAAAGTTTATGTTGTGTTCTTTCCACTGTGTTTCCAACTCATCTCTCTCGTTTTTCACGCGCATGCTTTTCAAACTACTAAATGATATGTGTTTTGTAAAAAGTTAAAAGTTGCTTTAAAAATCATATTAATCTATTTTTCAAATTTTATAGCTAAAACTTAATTAATCATGCGTTAATCTATCGCTCCATTTTGCGTGCGGAGGGGAGGGGTTCCCAAACCCTCCAAAAGAACACAGCAACCCACAATATTATTTCCTTTCAATAAAAGAAAGTACTCCCTCCGTCCCATTTTAAGTTCAACCATAAGTTTCCATGCCTAACTTTAACTGTCTGTCTTATTTAAAAATTTTTTATAATTAGTATTTTTATTGGTATGAGATGATAAAACATGAATAGAATGTGACTTATGTTTTTAATTTTTTTAAAAAAAATTTCAAATAAAACGGACGGTCAAACTTGTGCACGAAAAATCATGGCTGCACTTAAAATGAGACAGAGGGAGTAGGAAGTTGGTGGTTGTGATGGTGATAGATTCATCATTGCCACAGCTCCATTTTCCATTTTAAAGGAGTATAGATATATGCTTGCACGGTTCATGATTTCGTCTTTATGCTCCTTAGCTAATGCTCACTATCTTTTAATTCTTTGGCGTTTCTCAAGCAGTCCACAACGACATCACTCGATGACCGGCAAAGCTCATTTCCTTGCCTTCTGTCTTCTGCGGTGTTGTTACTTTTCATCTTTGAAATAAGAAGAATTCAAAGTTGCCCCTTTCTGTTTCAGGTTTTCGTCACTCTTGAAATGAATGGCATAGTGCTAGTTGTTGTCTATTGCTACGGAAAAATTTTATCAAGCAAGCTAAAATGTAGTATTAATCTGTTGTGAATCTAGACGAATTCTTTTTCATTTTTCATCATGAACCTTTCAACCCAAAAGAACACAAGATGTGAAAAAAATAATGTGAATCTCTGGTCTACCCCAGATCGCCCTTAGAGAAATCGCTATCAAATTGACCGACGATACGTATGCTTCTGGGCAAATGGTACATGCCTCATCACAGGTCGACACGGCCACTGCACTTTAGTACCCACCGCTATTGCCAATGTCTCTAGCTATGCTTAATTAGTCACCGTAAGCAGGCAAGGCCTGGTGGTTGTTGGTGTTGGGGGAAAAGGTGATGACATGGCTTGACCCAAGCGGTATTCACCTGGTGCATTTGGTTTCCTATTTGTCAAACTAGTTGATACCATGTGATGCTGTTAGAGTTGATATGAAACAAAATAAACAATCTATACAAATGTCAATAGGGTACACATTGCTGTGGTTATTTATATGAAACAAAATAGACAATTGAAGCAAGTGCCTCACGTACACTGAGGTTAGTAGGTTGTAACCATATATAAATAGAAATAGATGATTAATTACTGATTTTTTTTCTCATGTATAAATCACGTTTTTCGACACCAAATCAGAATCCAATAATTCGTACTTATGTCTTTTCTTGTTGTGTTGAAACAAAGTATGGTGTGATCTACATTGTTAAAGAAATTTTACTTTGTTGTCTATATATTGGTATGGAAAAACTGTACGATCCATATTCAGTCTATGTTCAGTCTATGCAAAAACCAAGCAAACAAGAAGTTTCTATATTATGCAAGTACACTAGTGCAAATTTATCTATGGTTGGTGCAAGTTTTAGATGGCTGAAAGAAAGAAAATTATCAAGTGTCTGAAAAATAGAAAAACTATTATTTTAAATATTAGACATTGCAAAACAACAAAGATAGAGGTAGGTATTATTAAAGGCACATCGATAATGCCCCACCTCTCATGATGTTTCAAAGATGACCTACCCTATTTTCTGCATTTATGATTGTATACGCATGCCATGCCAATCTTTAGCACTCACCAAAGTGTCTCGTCTCTACATCCATAGTCAAAATGATGACTTCCTCTTCATCATCGTCATTGCTGATGGAGTGTATTTTATATTGTTTCCTATCCAAGAAAAAATAAAATATATACTCAACTATAAACCGAGAAGAGATGTGTATAGCAAGGGTGTCACTGCTTCATATATAGAAAAGGGGTGATAAGAAACTGTAACCCTTCTTCGACATGATTGCTAAATATTGGAACCTTTGGTTCTTCTTGCTTCTTGTGTTACTGCTGGATTCAACATTGGCAGGTATATGATATTTCTCGAGTATGTGATCCTCTGTACTGGGTGATCCGTTTCTGCAATCCGATAGCCACAGATTTGATTGAATTCTCAAATTTTTCGGAATGGTACTGACAGCCATATAGACAGTCTGGAAAACTCTCTAGTGATTCTTGTGCCATGCATGTTTTGCAGAAAGCAACTAATTTAATTCATATACATTTCTTCTGTTCACAATTAACTCTGTATCACATATTCGAATGCTAATTCCAAAAGGTTATTTTCTTACTGGAAAGATTACTCTAGCAGTACAGTTCCACCTATTTCATCAGTCAATGCGAAAGAACTAATTAAGAAGCTTTTTTTTTCCTTTTTTTTTTTTTGCAGAGAAGTACTGTCACGAACTTGTTGGCTGGGAACTGTTGTGCATCGACCGGACCTGCAAGTTTAGCTGTTCGGTTGGTGCTGTTCTGCAGGGAGGAAAAATGCAGGAATACTGGTGTGGAGGCTGGCACAATTGTCATTGCTTGTACTGCCTTTAGATATATATATAGCTTCATGCTTATGCAAGGGAATAGTTAATATCCACAATAAGCTCTTTGCATGGAGTTTCTCATGTGGGCGGGTGTGTTCTTTGATAATTTAAATAAAGCAAAATTTGGTATATAGCATCCAAAAAACTTGTAATTAGCAGGGGACACCGCAAGAACACGTATCTATTGTAGGCCACTGTAGAAAACTGGTAATTAACTGATGGGTACACAAGGCATTATTTTGTTATTTTCAAATAAAATGAAGAGAGAAATATCCGTTAAAGACAAGTTTGCAGATGGGGCTCTCGTGGTAGAAGGGGCGACGGAGTGGCGGCTTACCGTAGCCAGGAAAGGGAGTAGGTGGCACAGTGGCCGAAGTCACCGCAGAACGGCAGCACGTAGAAAGTGAGAGCTCTCCATTTTTACCCACAACTGAGCTCTCCGAGCCCTCTTCTTCCCTATCTATCTCTCTCTCTCTCTCTTGATCCCTCAACCATTCTAGCCGCCAGTCGATCTCCCTCACTGAGTCCTTGTTGGCAAAACACTCGTGCCACCCGCTTTGCCTTGTCAGAGTGACTCTGTTTCCCTAGTTTCCTGTTTCTTTAGCCACCCTATCAAGCATCTATCATCACTATTGGTATTTATTACGAATACAGATAAATCCACAGATGCATGGATACCGTTGTAGAATTTCAGCCATGAGTATTTCCAAGGGTATACTATTTATATTTCCGAAGGGAAGGCGGCAGTATAAAGATATGTTTATATCTCTTTTATCAATCTATAATTAATTTACTATAATCTAAACATGGGTTAGGATAATGATTGATAAGGTAGTGGACACACAGGAGATTCACCTCTAATAGAATATCTAGTAGGAAATAGCTTAAGGAAACTACGATTCATCTATACTTCTCTACTAATCATGTCTAGTATACACTTAACATATATATACTTACAACATAGGACTTAGTTCCAAGCACCCAGGTACTACCGAGAGACCACTCCCTGCTAGTCTGCCAGCGTGGTTATGGCGCTTATGCAATCTTATGTTATACCCGAACGTGAAGGAATACAAAGGACAGAGAGAGTTGTGACCACCTGCTACCAACCTCCCTTTCCGTGGGGCACACCTGCATCCAACGACATTTATCTAGCCTAAGCATCATGATTATGCTAGTAAATTATATCACTAACTCCCCAGGACTCTCACCCTACAGATGAACAAGTAGGAGCTAGAAAAACCTATAAAGGTCATTGGAGCATTATCGTAGCTTGGGTTGACAAACCTAGGATGAAGCGGATATACAAAGTAGATACCACTCATAGAAAATATACTCAATAAGGAATTATATAACCATGCGCATAAATAAATAAAGAAGGTTATTCTGTGAATACAACTAAAGTCTTACACAAAGAAGAGAGTACTAGAGACATACCCAGAACACCGAGACGACTAAGCTTTATTCCTACTAGAAACTATAGAAAATACAAAGTGGAAGACTGAATTTGCTCCTTGAAGTGTGTGTTGTGAAGTGAGAAGTTCCACCCCTTAAATAGGCTTCAATAACGGTTGATTAAGGCGGTTGTAGGGCACCGACCTATAGTAACTGCATTAGGAGTGCCTCTAGAGCGTCCATGTGGAAGGAGGGGATGAACGGCGCCAGCCAGGGTTGGGCCGAACCAGGCCAACTGTCATTCCCCACCAACTTTGGTGAGGGATGACAGGTGGGCTCCTTAGTCGATTTTTAGTGGGTTAGTCCCATTTCAAGTCGGTTTGAGCTGACCTGTGGGCCCCTCAATCTTTGTGCTTTCACGTGATTTGCCAGAAATGCTTGCCGGCCTCATTTCTCCTTCACTTTAGTGTATAATTCCTGCATCCATGTTAATTCTCTAATCCTAATACAACTACATTATTTATTAGTATACCTGTAAGAAATGCTAATTTTTCTTTGATTAATTGTGCTAGTTGGCAATCAAAATTGTACTTAACAACTGTCAAGTGTCACCTACCTTGCCGGCCAGGGCTGAGTTTTGCCTTCACTGTTCTGGCTTCCTCCCCAACTCCCTCTGCTTGTAGCTGCTTTTTCCCTCGATGTAAGCAAAAAGTAACATGTTCTGCCACTGACATCGTCGTTCCTCAGCTATTGGAGCAACGACGTCCATTCCCTCTCGCTCCTCTTGTTTCCCTGGAGAATGAAGAAGGTAGGAAGAAGAAGGAGAGAGAAAAATAAAAAGAAAAGAAAAGGTCCCAGTATGAGATTGAGGCTCGATTGGTTTCAATGGGTAGAGCTACATCCACAGCTGTTTCTATCTCCAATTCCTCTTGGATATGATAAAATAATGTCATGGGTGTCTAGGAGCTGATTACAATTTTTTTTCAGTGTCCTATAGCAACAACGTGTTCATGCGGTATCTTTCAAATAATTACACATTTTTGGATATAATGTATAAAATTTGACCTCCAAACACGTCTGGGGTTTTGATATTCAGCTCTGGCAACAAAGTTAAGGTCGATAGTAGGGAAAATATGTGGTGAAAACCACATATGTAGTGGAAACTTGGAAACTGCCGTTGGATCGAAAAATGGATGTCCGAGATTCGTCCACATCATTATGAGTAAAAATTTTACTCACGGTTTTATTCACGAGTCGTGAACGAATCTCAGACGTCCATTTTTCGATCCAACATTAGTTTCCAAGTTTCCACCATATATGTGGTTTCCACCACATATTTTCCCCCAATAGTAGATGTCAAATTGCATCTCTTTGCCTTTTTTGCGTTCTTCCTATACATTTTGCTATGAGATTTCTTATTTATTACTTCCTCCCTCCCATATTAACTTCATTTTTAGCCCATTTGATTTGTCCCGAAATAAGTTTATTTCTAGAGTAATCAATAAATCGAAGTTTGTGAAAATAGGTAATAATTATATTGGGAGTAGATAAAGTGATGAATAGTTGTATTGAGATTTAATAAAGTTGGGATGAATGTCTTTTCGATTTTGTATTCGTATGTGTATGATGGGTGAAAAATGAATTTATTTTAGGACTAAAGTAGTAACTCTTGGATAAAGGTGGATTTATTGATCTTAGACAATTGTTTTTAAGATAATACAATTACAGTAACACGTCACTATTCTTAGTCTTATTTATTAATTACACGCTCAGTATGTGATACATACCGGCGGCCGACAGTGATGAAAGGGAAGGACTTGCTCTCCGAGATGAGGAGAGTGGTGGCTTGTGATACGGGGAGAGGTAGTGGCATGGAAATCGCCAGAGATTTGGAGAGACCCAGATACAGTGCACCGGCGAATTTTCCGGTTTGCTCGGATGGCCGATGGTTCAAGCAGTGCACGATACATTGTTCTCTCCAGTTTTTATTGATAAAGGGAATCATTGTCGCATGTGTGGCTTTGTGAATCCAAGGTGACAAGGTAGAGCGCTAGGACGGAGAGGCAAAGAGATGAGAGGGGGGCGACCTATGGTGTTGGGTGCGGGTGAGCAGTGAGGGTGCGTTCGGGGTGCGGGGGGAGGCAATGCAGTTGGATTGAGGAGGCTGGGATGTGATAGGCTTGGACTCAAATAAGTGTTCCATGTGGGCTAAATTTGGATTGTTCAATTGAGTCAGATCGAATGCCTAACAAAAACTAGGTGACGTGAAAGCTGGTGAACGATATAATAATTGTTATTATCTGTACTAAGTGGGATATTTGGTATAGATTTATATATATCTTGTTACTTATTCTTTACCCTGTCATAGTACTGATTCGTCCTTCTGTTTGGACACCCTCTACACTTGAAGGAATTTAAAAGTTTTTATAGCATTCCTACATCAAGAAAACATTTAAATATTTTCATTCTCATGGATTCATGTATTTCTTATTTTACTAGTACCCATATACGTGGAGGGAATACAGGATCGGATGATTTGATTTTGATTTATATGGGTCAAATTGATTTTGATTATTACATAGATGGAATGAAATAATAGTGTATTGATGGCTATTCAACGGTTACCAAGACAGGTCATGCATGAAAAGACCACCAATGGCCATTGGATGTGGTTGATCGGACGGATCAGAGCTTTCCATGTGAAAGTTGGTTTGTTTTTTAAGGGAGAATAGCTACTTTTGTCCTTAAAGTTTCTCTATAGGATCAGTTTAGTTCCTAACCTTTTAAATGGTCCAAAGAAATCCTTAAACTTTGTCATAAGGCTTAGTATAGTCCTTGGGTCCACCAAAATCATCATATGGATATGCCATGTCATCATTCATGCAAAATCGATGATGAATTGTCTAATTTACCCTTACGTATATTATAGAAAAATAAATATAAGTGTGAATTAGACATAACCATAGAAAAAAATTCTTCTCCTTTTTTTCACCCTTTTGAGGTATATTTTTGCTCTAACATATACCATATATTTTTTAGCTTTTTTCTTTTGTTTTTATTTTCCTATGATATATGTAAGGGTAAATTAGACAAATCATATAGATTTTGCATAGGAAGGTGACGTGGCATGTCCATGTGGTGATTTTGGTGGGACCAAGGACTATATCAGCCCACATGACAAATTTAAAGGACTTGTTTAGACAATATAAAATATTAAGGACTAAAATGACCTAGGAGCGGAACTTTAGGGATCATTTTGGCTATTCTCCCGTTTTTTAACATAATTAACTATTTCTACAGAAACAAAAGTAAAGAATTCATTGACAACAGCTATGTGCCAGTTGTAGGTGAATGGTCATATGTTAATTTTGCCAGCCCCGCAGCATTAATCAGCTCTGGATTTGCTCTCCTGAATGATAGTCTATATAAAGAGGTTCTCCTGTGTCCTCTCGGGAACATATAATTCTTGTACTACAGTTGACACTGAAAGTCTAGCACACTCGATCGATCAGCAATGGACGCGAGAGCTGCGACATTTTTCTTTCTACTCCTTGTTGTATTTCAGGGAAATCCATGTTCTGCTGGTTAGTTCTCCCTTTTATCTGTTTCTCCCTCTCTCTTTCGATCTTCATCGATCTATCGATCCTTCTTCTATCCATAAAATAACTGATACCTCCCTTCATTTTTACAATTGAGAATTTTTTAGTTCGTCTGAAAAAAATAAAACCCTGGTGTTGGAAAAATTTTGTTTTTTATATCTCTTTTCTGCAACATAAGTATTATATCATGCTCATAGAACTGTAGAGCATATGGATACCAATTCGGATTACAGGATATATGAACCAAAAAGTGTGTTTTTCAGATTGATTTTTATAAATTTGTGTACGTTTGCAGACGATACATGCATCTACACTAGTGCCCATCTGGTAACGTGTGTGACACCGGTTTGCAAGTTCGCGTGCGTGGTGGACGCACGGGCCCATCATGCCAAGTACAGGAATGGATGGTGTAAGGGATTTTTCAATGGCGTTTGCACATGCCAACTTTGCTATGACTAAAGCGAGAGACCGCTGCCATGTTTACAAAGATGTAATAATCCTCTGATCTGATCAAGGGGAAATATATGTAATATTTCAAGGATATTTGGAATTCTGTGTGTGGATGCACGCATGCACTTGTGTGGTGTGGACCTGAACATTATATTTATTATTGTGACCTGTTCCCAGTGAAAATAAGTTTGCTTTAATTTTGATATATCTTCGCGTCATTTGGATATGACTGAATTTTTATCATACGTGCACACGTGTATTTCCTAAAATCCTTGTAGATACATACTAATAGGGAAACCCTCCTAATTAAGTTTCCCGTCGGACAATTATTTGTAAACTAGGAAGAAAGCCCGCACAGATACACGGATAATTTATTTGTTGTTTATAAAAAAGAATATTAAAATAAATCATAAGTTACCATATTCATTTTAAGAACCATATAGATTACCTTATAATTGTAAAATAAAGATATATTTATACTCTAAAATAAACCATAGACTTTGATATACTAAGTGATAGTGCCTATTATATTCAAGCAAAATTCACTTTGTTCTGGTTTTACGTAAAATAGCATATCACCATCCTTCTCAACACATACAAGTTAATGTGGGTTTAGATTTTTTTTCTTTTACTTTTCATCTAAGTCACCAATACATGTTCGTGGGTAATATCCCATTGGAATAATTCATATTGTAAATATTATTTGTGCTAATTTTATTAACACTATTTACATCAAAATGACATAATTGTATAAGGATATAATATGTTTCCAAGTGACATTTTTTTATTGTAAGTATGTTTTTTTTATGAATACTAGTGTGTATTCATAGGGTGGTTATGCACACGTTTCTATGAGCGTCTACAATTTTGTTTTACATAATTAGTAAAAACAAATATTTTCAAAAAGTTTGGTGTAATGGCATGAAGCAACGGCACGATGGTGTGACTTTTTCGACAACATCACAGAGAGTTTCACTATAGATATATATAATTTGAGGAAAACTTTAGTGCTGCAAAGAAAGAAACATAAAACTACAGACGGAACATATCATATATGCACTCTTCCTTTTTTTTCTTTTTGATACATCTTGTGTACGTACGTACATAGGGAGCGATTAGCTGGTTTTTAGCTGGAATATATCTAATCTAATGGTTTTTAGCTGGAATATATCTAATCTAATGGTTAAGAATAATAGAACTACCGGTTAAGTGTAAATTGATGGTTGGATTTTTTTATAATTTTTTTCTAATTTATTAGATCTATCACGTCACATCTTAAAAGTGTTGGTAGAAGTGTAGAAATGCTATTACTCATGCTAACAATCTACTTGTAGTCGACTATTGTTTGTTATGGCTTGGTGACATGTTCTACTTATCTATTATTTATTGATAGTTCCTCACTTACTATAGTCCATTATCTTCGGTGCTCGATAACATAAGTGCTCGTTGGATGTCAACTAATTATTAGGTGCACTGTGCATCAATTCCTCATAAGCAATATGACTTGATGATTGGTGGATAGAACTTATATATTGTATTATGGTAACATACGATTGATATATTAGTGTCACATACCACAAGTTTGGATGTATGGAAAACATGGAAATGGTGGAAGTAGTACAATAAATAAAACTTTTGTCTAAAACTTTTATGCTTGCTTGCTTGTGCATTTTGTGGTGTTTGCATATGCAAGAATCATATTCATACTTAAGTTAACCTAATGGACTTAAGAAAAATACTTGGGACAACTCAAAAATCTGGGAAGAATTTGTGGTAACTTCTTGCTGATCTTAGAAACCAAATGTGAATTTTAGTTTAACTTATCAACTCATTAGATGGACCAAACAACTCTCTAAACACGTAAGCACAGGATTTTGACAGGTTTTCTGGAGCACTCTTTGACACTCTACCAAAATTCGACCTTGGACTTCTAGGCTGTAAGACCTGATCCAAACTGTAGTATAAACATTGCTTTATAACTTTGCCATTGGTTACTAACCCAAATACTGCCTGGAATTAATTTTATCTGGCGCAAAGTGGCATTGTCAACTTGCACCCTTTTGTTTTTCTCATGTAGGGGATGATACCGCCCTGATGTGAATGAATATACCGGAGCAACATGGCTTACGTGTTGGGCTACGCATATGTCTTGACTCAGGACTGCAGTCTGGGTCATTGGGCATAGCATGGGGCCATGTTGCTCAGAGGCCTCCTATAGCTAGTTTGACGCGTGGACCAGGCCTTCTAGATTATGCATGGTGGGTGCAACACATTGTCCATTCTATGTAGAATACGATCCGAACAGGACACCTTTATCCATAACGCTACTAATATTTATTTATATGCTCATGTCGCCTGATCCCATATATACAATACAATAGTTCGAGTATACCCATAAATAGCTGGGTATAGCATATCTATTGTTAACCCGCTAGGTATCGGGCTAGATAGAGGTGTTGTCTATAACGTACGAATTATTGTATTTTTCATTTTTACGAGTCTTGTTATTTTTTTAAATTTTTTAAATAGAATTAAATAACGCACTAATGATGGTTATTTAATGTGGCATATAGGACATCCATGTATGGGTGGAACGATCAGTGGCCATTCGATTTGAATGTCCCGTGTGAAAATTGGTTTGTAGGTTTACTTAATTCTACCTATATCAAAAACGAAAGAATTCAATGAGTAAGTACAACAGTGGTAGGTGGATAGCCACATATTTATTTTGCCAACCTTGCAGCATTAAATATCTTTTTTTACTGATAGTATATAAAGGTCATTTTCTATCTGGCTATACTTCGTACTTCATAGTCATAATATCTATATACTCAAAGAATGGATGCGAGAGCTGCAACCATCTTGTTGCTTGTCCTACTTATCTTTCAAGCAAATCCATCTTCTGCAGGTTAGTGTTTTCTATGGCTGTGTGCCCAAGTGCCCAACTCTGTTTGTACGTCCCTGCAGTCGACGAAATTTTTTCTGTGTAATCCAAAATATCCATTTCTTTTGAAACTTCAATCCAAATTTTCGCTCCGTATATGTTGATATATAGCTAGTTTTTCATCTGTCACCGAATACAAATCCAGAAAATCTCTACATACACATGCTATTAATTTCTCAAGTTGTTTGGCATTAAACACATATATAGTTTCACATTTTATTTTGCTTGTGGGTACTGCAAGCACAGTTATAGATATAACTCTTATTCGTTCTTGCAGAGGAGTCCTGCATTATCACTGGTGCAAGGATGTTAATGTGTATGCAACCGACATGCTTCTGCGGGTGTGAGCTCGACGCAGCAGTGCATCATGCACAGCTCAAAGATACCTGGTGTGAAGGATTTTTTAGAGGCTTTTGCCGATGTAAACTTTGCAATAACAGTTGAGTAATCGATCGATCTCTGCATATGTTGGCCTCTTATCGTAAGGGGAATAAATCTTTATATATATAATATTTCAAGCATGTTTATGGAATGTTGTGTGGATACATGAACGCGTGTGTTGTGGACCTCCACGTTTCTTATTGATGCATTCCCTATCCAATATATTGATCCTTCTGACCTGAAAAAAGTCTATGGGATATGCAAAAAAATTGCACCTTTGGATATTTGGGTTACAAATGCAAATTAAAGCAAGAAATTGGATTTTCAAACGCTTACCGAACCGTCTCTTAGACAAATTTGTCTCTTCTAACCAATTGGGTACACTTCCCTACCTACTTACCCCGATGGCATGGAGCCGGACAGAGACAAACTAACAATCGTCCCTAGCTCCCAAAGTAACAGCACCTCACTACCCTGATCCTTCATAAACATTGTTTTTTACTCCAACAGAAAAATTATGAATCCGTTACAATTAATTGTCCTTATATTTTGAAAATACCTCCATGGAAAATTGTTGGGCCATTCCAAGTGGGAGGTTTTATTTTTATATTTTCAAGGGTACCACATAAGCAATAAAAAATTTAATTGATGGTTAAAATAACTCACACAATGCATTGTGCATTGTTTTTGTTTCCTAGGCAAAACATGAAGAGGCAAGTAACATCGGAAACAACGTATTTATCTATGATTTCATCTAAATGAAACTCATTTCATCTATTTCTTCATTAATTACTTGTCACATCAAAAAAATGTTGACTTGATACCCTATTTAATAAAAATGAAACTCCCATTGATGATGGCCTTAGAAAACTAGTAGATACCTTCAGACTCATTTCAAATCTCATCACTCCTCAAATTAAATGTAGATTTGCGGGCCTGCGTGAAGGGTTGCAGATTGACCTACCAAAAGGAGGAAGATTGTCAAGGAGTGGGCCTCAAGGTGGCTTGGCCATAAGCCTACCCAACTGCATAAACATGAAGGTAACGTGGATATAGTTGGTTACAGTATATGCCATTAACAATGGTACACTGGTGGTAGGTGGTTCATCATTAATGTATTAATGCTACCAACCCTGCGCATTCAATAGTTATGATTTATGATTTTTTTTATTTAACTTCATGAGTCTATAAGGTGGTCATCTTGTATCCTCACTAATACTTTGACTAGAGTTGGTACAAAATTACCTCTGCGTAGTAGACAATGGATGCGAGAGCTGCTGCCATTTTCTTCCTACTCATACTTGTCTATCAAGAAAATCCATCTTGCGCATGTAAGTGCTCTCTCACTCTCTGACTCTATCTATCTATCTACTCTCCGTCCCATAAAAACTATTCCCTCCGTAGTTAAAGGAAGTCGTTTAGAATAATGTTTAAGTAAAACCTTGGGAATATAAATCATAAATAACTCTCAGGTTGTTGAGTTTGAAAATGTAAAAATTATATGAATAGATTTGTCTTGAAAAATACTTTCATAAAAGTATACATATATCACTTTTCAATAAATATTTTTATAGAAATAAGAAGTCAAAGTTGTGTTTTGGAGACCGTTTCGCTGTACAAAACGACTTCCTTTACGAGTATGGAGGGAGTATCAACCTAGTACCAGATGTGACACATCCTACTACTATAAACCTGGATATATAGGCATACCTCTGTCTAGGTAAGATAAGTAGTATTAGAATGTATTATATCCGGTATTAGGTTGTTGACTTTTTATGGGATGGAAGGAGTATTTCTCATAAATCTGGAACATCTGAGTATCAGATTAGGATCGGATACATAAAGAAACATTTATATGATTTGAAGACATGTATGTAGCTAGCGTGGTTTTCTGATTATATATATTTGGGGTAAATAGTCGGAGAGTTTTACATTGTATTTGATCTATACAATGTTGAGTGCATCAAAACAAATACAACGCATTAAACATAGAATTATCTATTTACCTTTAATATAGTACTACATGCAAGTCTTGATATTGTGGTACATGCATGTCACATTAATAAGTTATGTAATTTGTTACAACCTGGTTTTAAAATTTGGATAAGTCCGGTGCTTCTTAGAAACATTACGGCATGTAAAAAAACGAACAGTACTGCACAATGAGAAACATTACGGCATGTAAAAAACGAACAGTACTATCTCCGTGGTAGATAGGATGCTTGCAAACTGTCCATATTTTTTTTTTCATATGTAGCATTCTACACGTATAATTGGATTGTCTAAGTTAAACTGTTAGTGTAAATAGTAGCTTTTGTTTCCAGAAAACTGCTATTCAATCTCCGGAAAAATCAAACTATAATGACATCAAGGATAGCGAGAATGCAGCAGTAGTAAAGTTACTGCCTCTGTTTGTTGTGACTTCACGGAGTCTAACACTAGTACCAGAGTGTGTGCGCGCATGTTCTGCTACCTATCCAAATTCGTGTGGCACACTGGATGCATGAAGACTCCTACCTAGTCCGACATATTAATTTAAGAAATATTAGAGTTTTTATTTCAATTTAACAAATTAAACTTGTGCATATTGAATGTTGCATTCATTATATGCTCTGTAATGATGATCTATGTACTCCGTCCATTTCATATTATTTGAAAACGTTTTGACTTTTTTACTCAAACTTCTATAATTTAACCAAATTAATAGAAAAAAACGCAATATTTTTAATACATATCAACCATACTATCAAAATATATTTAATGCTATATATAATAAAACTAAGTTAATGTTGTATATGCTAATTTTTTCTATGAACTTGATCGAAGGTTTTTTTAAAAGGAAAATTTGACTACGAAGAAACTTAAGGTGTCTTATAATAAAAAAAAACGGAGGGAGTAGTGCTGAATTGACAGCTAACATCCATCATAATATTCCCTCTTCTTTTTTTTTCCATCATTGGTAAAATAGGATATGTACTACATTTGATTTTTCTAGTGAAAAGAGTAACAATTTTTATCTGCATATCAAGCTTTTAATATATTTATTGTTTGATTCTGCAGTAGAGTCCTGCATTTTCAACAGTGCTCGTTTGGTGACATGTTTCCCACCATTCTGCAAGGTTGCTTGCCTGGCCGATGCCAAAGCCCATCATGCCAAGTACAAGGATGGCTGGTGTGATGGATTTGTAAATGGCATTTGCGTATGTAGACTTTGTTTTGACAGTTAATTAATGCCTGTGTACTCAAGGGACTGTGATGTTAATAAAGCATTAATCCTATCGTCGCATGAATTTTAAAAATATGGAATGATGTGGATGCATGCGTTTGCCTGATGTTCATCCCTTTATATATATTTTTAAACACAATAAAAACATATGCACTCACAATATGTGCACACTCACCCCTATAGACACACGCACACCTGTCGATTTCTTATATCGCAATATTATTTATGGGGTGTACTAGATCAGGCCCTCAATGTGAGGTAATACCCTAGTCCAATTGGTTTAGATTGGATTTATGTCGATGTGTGCGGGTCAACAATGAAGTAGCTGATGACTCTTGTGAATGACGGAATGTCTAACCCCTTATGGTTTCTCCCGGCGCCCTTTATATAGATCTAGTGTCACCGGTAGTCAAATGGTAAGGTAGCCCTTATAATCTGAGTACACTGCTAGGGATACCATCTTTACTCCCGGTTTGCAACCCCCTTAGTCCCGGGTTACAAATCGGGACGTCCAATCTGGGACTAAAAATAAAATAATCGGCACTAAAGATGGTAGCACTATCATTTTTAGTTTCTTTTTTTATTATTTTTTGTTGCTTGCATATTGTCTTTTCTTTATTTTTTTCCAATGCCACAGATCAAATGCAACAACAACAAAATTATTTATTCCAACGCCATAGATCGAATCCAACAACATCAAAATTAACATCACAGATCCAATGCAACATCAAAATCATCCACAAATTCACAAAAAACATCTAAAACATCCACAAATCCACAAAATCATCCACATTATTTTTTCCACTGCCGACGCCCGCCACATGCTGCCTGTTCCGCCCGCTGCCATTGCCGCCCACCGCCTGCCGCCTGCTCCGCCCGATGACGCTGCCTGTTGTCGCCATTGACTCTACAACGGAGAGGGGAGGGGGAGGAGGAGGGCGAAGCAGCATGTGAAGGAGAGCTCTCGCCACCCGCCGCCACCACCGCTCGCCGCCCACCGTCCACGCCTCCGACGGAGAGGGGAAGGGGGGGTGGGGGAGGAGGGTGAAGTGGCGTGGGGAGCAGAGCTCTCGCCGCCCGCCGCCGCCTACTACCGCTGACGGAGAGGGGAAGGGGACGAAGGGAGGCGTGCGGGGAAGGAGAGGAGGCATGCGATGGACTGGAGGAGGACGCGACTTCGGAGAGAGGTGGAGGAGGACGCAACTTCAGAGATAAGGAGGACTGGAGGATTAAGGAGATAAGGACGAGGCGAGGAGGCGTGCGGCTCATGCGGCTCAACGCGATTTTTTCAATCTTTGTGTTATCAACCAGGACTAAAGATAGTGGGGGCCTGACACGACCTGGCGTCTATTTTGAACCGGGACTAAAAATATTTTTTAGTCCCGGTTACCAACCGGAACTAAAGATCATAAGGTTTTATTAGGCTTTTTAACCAGGACTAGAAATTAATGATCTTAATCCTGGTTCCAATTTGAACTGGGACTAATGTGACTTTTGCCATTTGGGCAAAGATCATTTCTCCAGTAGTGGTACCTGCCATCTATTTACAAGGGATAGAATTGGTTTCCTTATCCTATATATCATTCCTAGATTACAAGTTAGCTGCATGGGCCGCATGGGCCTAGCGCACTCGGCCCATCCCATGCTGCACGGCCCAAAGGACTCTTCTTAGGTACCTGGTTACTGTGTACCTCGCAACACTTTACACCTATGAACACCTCTGGAAGACTGGGCCAACATATCTTAAGATTGACGAAGTCACTACAGACGCCTCGCTATCGACGTTTACGTCGCCTACCACTGAAATAAAGATTAGCCGTAAATGCAAGCACCCGTATCAAATCTTGGATTTGAATTTGGCTGGGCTTGTTTCACCACAAGGAGTCTAACCAATTGAGTTACGCTCACTTCGCTAGTATGTGCCTTTATAGGAAGAGTAGTAGCTACTCGTCCCTCCTCCAAAAATAGATTCAGTTCCAAAGAGAGGTGAAACCAAATATGAGATGAATATGAACTTGTAGTTGGTTGAGATGAGAGAATAGCTGGAGCCTGGAGATGTAATTTTATTTTAAGATAAAATTTAAACGTTACAAGTATCTATATTTTGTATGGAAATTACTATACATACGACACAACTGTCCTACTCGCGTATGACTGAATTTGATCAACGGTCGTAAACGGTTGCAGTGCATATGAGCATGCTCTCCTTTGATTCATCTATGGTTGCATGTCTTTGGCTGTACATAATTTGTAGGACTTGGTCGTACATATAACGGTACTCATTTTGGACGAAGAGAATAGTTGGAATACCATACAAAGTGTGCCTGACTGTACGTTTTATAGCACAAGGCTGAGGGGAGAATGGGCATGGGTTCTGCCCGGTGATTGGTTTTACTAACGGCTTGTTTGGCAACGCGAGGGAAAGGGATTGAGAGTTTATACAAGGGAATTGATGGTGAGATTAAGATAGAAATTTAATTTTTAATCCCAGTATCTTGTTTGGTAGAGGTGGTGGAAATTGATAGGGAGTTTAGTTGGAGATTAGGTCATTAATGAAAACAGATGGCTGAGATTTGTTTAGGTAAAGTGAAGGAGGAATTCCCTCCCAATTACCACCACCTACCCAGGTTTTGAAAAGGAGGGAGTTCCTCCCTCAATTCCTTATCTCCATCCCACCAAAATTCCCATGTATCTCAACCAAACAAAGCAGTTAATAGCCTCCTCTCTCTAAACTCCCAATCCCTCGTGAAAACTCCCTCCAACCAAACGGGCTGTAAACGGTAAGGCAAGGAAATTTGCGAGTTTAATTTAATTTTGAAATTTTGTGCAAATTGTGAAACATTTTAAGGGGTACCTTTGTTTTGTTAGGACCCTTTTGACTAGGTCGAAGTGATTTTCTACTATTCAGGCATATGCAGAAATTTATGTATACTTAGAAAGTTAACCCGTCCTGCCAAAATAGAATAAATTCCCAGAGAGAGGTGAAGCTCAATGAGAGATGGTTGTGAACTTGTTGGTTAAGATGAGAGACTAGATGGAAATGTAATTATATTTCAAGACAACATTTAAACGTTAGAAGTAGATATTTTAGACTAAGGAAACAGCTGGAATACCGTACAGAGAGTGCATGACTGGATGATAATGCTGAGGGGAGAATGGGCATAGGTTCTAGTCGGTGATTGGTTTGTAAGGCAATGAAATTTGTGAGTTTAATTTAATTTTGAATTTTGGTGCAAAATGTGAAACATTTTGTGGGGTGCATCTTTGTTGTGTGAGTACCCATTTAACTGTCATAGTGATTTTCTGTTTTTGCTCTTACACAGCTCCGATTTACTTTTGATATAACGGAGGGGGCTGGTGCAATGTTTAAATTTGGGAAAAAAATAATTTATATATATTCTCTGTATAATGTCAAGTTTGAGATTTTTTTTCCATGCACTCAAATTCAAAGAATGTGATCAGCTCCCAAAAACATTATAAGTAACTTCAAGATGCATAAATTTATTTTTTCTATTGATATTTTTATAGTTACAGTTTTATTTCTTTCACTGAGAGAACTGACTACTGACCAAAGCACTCCAATAATTTAAGTTAGGCAAGATTTGCAGTTATATATTGGATGTCAGTTTTGGATGCCATTAGCTTGGTAAAATATATTGCAAATGTCATGGCTGTAGAACATTCAGGGGGAGTTAATTACCAACACAGTTACACACTCCAAGCAAAGGAAAAAGAGAAAATTACATTATTTTGACTTGTATGGAGAATTTTTTTGGTAAATGTTATCATTGCCTTGAAACATCTCAATTATTTAACGCCAGATATGTTGTTAATGATTTTTTTTCATGAACATATTAATTGCAATATTTAATTTGAGTCATATTTCTATGTAATCGTGTTTAATAAAATGGTTGCTGATAATAGTTTATCGTCCACCCATGCTTAGAAAGAAATATATTTTTTTTCAATCGTGATATCGTACGTTCCCGCACCTGATTGAATGATTCTTACGGATTTCATGAATAATGATTTTACAGTTAAACCTTGGAGGCAAAGAGATAGGATGAACTATGGCCGTTGGATCCAGTCGAACTAATGGATTGGAGAGTTCCTGTGCTAGCAGTATATTTAATTTACTACCAACATGAAAAACTGAAGAATTCAATGACAACAGGTATTCTAGAGGTAGGTGGATGGTCTTGTGTGTTAATCAATTCTGCCAGCCGCATGCAGCCATTACGTAATGCTGGTCTTGTTTTCGGCTGTTCTATAAAGAGGTCGACTTGTATCCTTAGTGACATAATACATTGGCTTCACTTGGTACGCAAAATTTAGGCACTCAGCAATGGATGCAAGGGTTGCAACCTCTCTCTTCCTACTTGTACTTGTAATTCAGGGGAAGCCATCGTGTTCCGGTTAGTGCTTTCTCTTTCAGTATCTCTATCTTTATCTTTGCCTCTATCTCTATCTCGTGTATCTCTCACCGTTTCTTTCCTCCCTCGCAAGTTTGGAATCTCTCTCTCCTCCCTCGCATGTATGGAGCACACGGGATATCCAGATTTATACAAAGAAAATTCTTAATTGTATCATTTATAATTCTCAAATTGAAAACATATGGTTCGTTTTTATTTGATGCTCAAATAGAACTTCTCAAAATTTTATAATGTCAAATGTTTGCATTACCAATATTTGGTAAGGTTGGGATCAAAAATTGTGTTTATTTTGTTGCTTGTGCGAGTTCTTTTAACCAATGTTTTTAGAATTACTAAACATCGAAAGTGGCCGCCAAATTTTGGTAGGTATTATTATCATTTTCATTTTCAATTTGTACTAGTATTATTAACCGTACAAAAATTTTAAAATCATGAAATGTGTAGTCGATCATAAAATACTTTCTGCTTTAATATAAGATAACAACTTGTGCAAATAATGGTATTATGTAAATACCATATCATAAATTTTTCAACTTTTTTTTCAACAAAAGTAAATAGAGAAATTAGTGATTTTCTATGCAAAAATCGACATAATGTCCATTTTCAAAAGTAAAACCTCATGGGTTGATCTTTTTAAAACTCCTACTTGAAAAAAGGTTTTGAAAAACTCCAAATTCTGATGTTGACCAGCAGTATAATATGTCTCACATTTGCTGAGCTTTTTTGATACCATGCATGAATGTTACGGAGAAAGGTTCTTAAAAAAGTGCTCTCGTATATCCCATGGATATGCTCTTTGCAGAGGATTGTCTGGTGCTCCGTATCCCCGACTTTGCATGTCCCTATGTCTTCCCACTGTGCAAGATGACGTGCGGGATGAGGGCAATTGGTCACCACGGCAAGGTCAGGGAGTCATGGTGCACAGGCAGAGGGAATAGTGCCGTTTGCAACTGTACTATTTGCATGAAGTAATCTACAAATACTGTGGCGAATAACTGAACGGTGCAATATATATGAAACTATTTGCAAATAATAATGAATAATAACATTGTGGACTATATTGGACCCGCGTATTAACACGGAGGGCTTTCTTCCCGCCTGGGCTAACAGGTGGTACGTGGGCCAAGTAGCGATATCATGTTGCTGGAGGGGATAAGGCCAATTTGTAACCCAATATGTGGGTAGATTAGAGATAAGATATAAATCTCTCTATCCCGACTATGCTGGAAGGATGGAAAGGAACCACTTGTAATTTGGATTCCCACATACATATAAGTGAAACAGGGAGACCCTCACAGGGACACATCCACATACTTGGTTGAAAACTCTAGACATAAGATCCAATCAATGAAAGGGACTAGGGTATTGTCTCGTTCCATGGGCCTGAACCTATAAAAAAAATCTTCCTTGTGTCACCATTAGCTTATAAGTGTTTCCATATACCCCATAATTTTGTTGCTGATATCTAGAATCAATAGTTAGTTGGCACGCCACGAAGAGAGTGTCTAGGTCAACGTTCTTCCTCAGATCGCTTCTTTTACTCCGATAGTATTGCAGATCAGAATCAATGCTAAGAAAATGAATGCATTTCCATACCATAATAAAAGAAATTAAGTGTAATAAATAGAGAATTGGATCATGTCACATGACTTATTCCATTTATACTCTATGCGATCTTACGGAGCCTCTCTTTCCGATCTCAATGCTTTTCACCACTCCACTGAAAATTTCCTCTACCCCTACCGTACTCTAGCTTGGTTGTTTCCACCATTTTTCCAGCTTCAGCCCTAGGGTTGAGATGGTGGTGGGACTGCCACATGCGCGCGCGCGCCGAGCCTGCTGGCCGAGGCCGTGGGCGAGGCATGGCATGCGTGCGAGACGAGACATCTACTCTTCTTCATGAAGTTACTTTTTTATGAGGGAAAAGCGTAACTGACAGAAACTCGTTACTTCAGAAACGGACGGAGCAATCAATCGGATTAATTCCTTTCGGAAACGTCTCTCTCTAGTGCTAGTTATCTCCCCGGATAGACAGAAAGCATTCTTCTATTCATCTCCCCCTGACTCTCTCTTTCTTCTTCGGTACACACCTTCCAACCTTCTGTTCCTAACATTCTTCTATTCATCTCCCCTGACTCTCTCTTTCTTCCTTGATACACACCTCCCAACCTTCTGTTCCTGTGCTGCTTCGGCCTCCCTGGTTCTGAGCACCTGCATGCATAAGTACTCAGGATGAGCAGGCCTCCAAAACTCTATTCAGCTAAGTACATGCACGGGTAGGGGGAGTTTTAGGGAGCGCGTAGAACACATGACTGCTCTCTGCACTACTTCCTCTATGTCGACTACTCCGATCCTGTCCACTACCAGAAACGACGCCAATGGAAGGGGAGGGAATAACAACAACAATGTCTCTTCATCCAGAGCATTCTCTGGGTATATCACTCTATTGACCTTAGTATTAAACATATTTTTAGATGATGCTATTACTGTTATTAGCATGTTCATATTTAGCACTGCAACTTAATCATTGTTTTATACACATGTCATGCTTACTACTATGTTTTTCTACATTAAAATATGCGGACTTATGACTAGATTTCCAACAGTATTGACATGAAGGCAGCTGGATGGGAGCCTGGAAGGTGTACGAAACTGTGAAATGTGAGATTATGGGTGACGTATCCAATGGCTGCTCGCTTGGCTCGGTGTTATGGGAGTCAAACCTACAAATTAATAATATGACACAAAGTGGAAAAAATATGCAATTTTGTGTCACATGTCTACATATATATCCTGCCTGGCTCTCTGTAGTTGTGATGTCATTTATCTTCATGATGCAATAATGACTTAAGAAACGTATTCTATACATTATGATGTTTTGACATTCAAGTGGACAACCACAGTCATGCTGACAGTTGCATCCACGAGCAGTTCAATAACCTTTTTGTTTGTTACACACATTTTCTGATGTTTCAGAGCCAACAAAACGACAGAGTAGCATTGCTGTGTATTGACCCTCCACCGCTAAGAGAAGCAAACAAAACCATGATATATGCCAACTTAACCAGTGTTTGGACCTGGGAGGCATAGGCTAGACATAAGTTATTTGGATGGTTATCGAGTTTACTAATTGATATCCCATCTTTAGAAGGCTATAAATTCACATCTCCTACAACTATCTTAGCATACCCTCTTTCGTATAGACCAAAAGGAAAAGCCAACAAACAAGAACATGAACAGGAGAAATGTTACACTTTATTTCCTCGTGCTACTTGTGCTTGCAGGAAGTACTGTGACTCATGCAGGTTTTCTATCTCCGCCATTCTATTTATCCATGCATCCTTATCGTTTATGTCATGCATGTTGAACCTAAAATAGATTAACACATCACATGGATGCAATGTTTCTTCTCCACTCATTAGTTCTATTGAAACATGCTTAGCAATGTGTGTTTCAAAGGTTAATTACCTTCACGAGTTGTGGATTTATTTTACCTTTGGTTCTACCCAGAGAATTGCTACGACTACGCTTTTGAAAAGCTGGTATGCGTGAAGCCTCTGTGTTACCTGAGTTGTCTCACCTTCTTCTAGAAGCATACCAAGAGCTACCGGTGCGAAGGAACCTTTCTACATCGCTCGTGCGTCTGTTATGCTTGCTATTAGTAAACACTTTGCAAGGAAAGTACCACTATAAACTGGGAAATAATGTTCACACATGGGATGCATACTGATCATAGTGTGGTGCACCTTGTACTACAACTCGATTAGTTTCTCATGCAGATCCAATGGTTCGTAACGAGTGTAACAAGTTATTTTCATTCGGTGAGATGGAAGATAAAAAAACAGTGAAGTAGGTATCCCTCGCCTATAGCACTTAATGGGGAGAAATCTATTTATTGTGTGGATTTTCAACTTTCATTGTGTTTTTCCCTAGTGTTGTGTGTGGTCATAAGGTGAGGGCTCATGCATCAACCTTGAGCGACAATGCTAGGGAAATTTCTTCGGAACCATGAGAAAATGAAAATCCCGTAATCCAAATATGCCCTTTCAGAAAATGTAACCATTTAGAAAAACTATAATCAGGATGAAAGAAATTTCCTGTGTTAATCTTGTCATGCGAGAAGAGAACAAGGGTCACTTCTCAAAAGGAATTATAAAATTCAAATGATGCTAAGCTTTGAGGACAATCTCCTGAAAACCATACACTATATTCTTCTTCTGTGAGGTCAAGACACAAGAACTGCACCATTCCGTACTTACATGAATGCAAGTAAATAACTCCCTTGTTTCGTACCAACTATACGTTTTTTGCATATTTCAATTCCTAATCAGAGTTATACTTGCATAAGTTCAGTTAGGAATCAATTCGCTTGATGCAACCATTTTAATCACATGGATGGTATGGAAAATTCTGCATGCTCTTTCCCTATATGAAAATCGGTAAACCTGATCAGAATTCCACTGGCTGGTTAATGTGCTTGTGCTTAAAGAAAAGTTCAGCAAAGGAGACCAGCGCTGCACTATGATTTTGGAAGGAAGGTTGTGCAACTCTAGCACGCGAGTGACCAAATGAGAATAGACAAGGCTCAACCGGTCAAAACATTATGATCATTTTTTTAAAATGTTGTAAAGTGAAAAATTGTAAAAAAAAAGTACTCCTTTTATTAATGATTAAAGGATATGATGCTTGATCATTCGTCATGCAAATTTACAAACCAATATAACCCAGGCTTAAAATATCACTAATTACAAAACAAGTCACAACAAAATAAGTAGTACTATATAGTTTTGAATAAGCCATATGGTCAAATGCTATGTCCAAAAGTCAGCAACGTTCAAAATGGAGGTGCTAATACTGTAGTTTCCTGTGACACATATTATGTTGTCTTCTTGTTGGTGTCATCATTTTGTATCTTTTAGGCTTACACAATTGCGGTCCATATATATCTTGCTGTGAGCTATATACGGTGGTTTTGACCACTTCCTAATTCCACCAGCACTATGTTGTCATAAGAGCTGTCATAAGCAACTAGATAAGTGTACACGCATGCATTCAGTTGAGTGGTGCTTGTTCTCACCATGCAACAGCGAGCATATTAGCACTGTTATGCTTTAACCTCCACCACTGGAGGTACTACTATAAGACCAAGAAATGTCCACTCGGCCCAAGAATGTAACTAGGTAAAAATATATAAACAACTATGTGAGGCTCAATATGTATGTTTTGTCATGTTTAGTTTGACAGAAGAGTAACATCCTTAAGATCTCAAATTATCTGTATTTTTCATGAAGCAATGCCTTGTAATTAAATTATGATGGCAAAAAACTTGTCCACTTGCTTCTTGATGAAGTCTAGGCACTCTAGACTTCTAGAGCATCTCTTGCAGATGAAAAAAAAACTGTACCATAATGTACATGAATAACCACAATATTTTCGATTTCTTGAGTTTGAAATATCACAGCTGGAAACAATTAAATGCTATATGTACCAATCCCACCATTCCTTAAATGTAAGATTAAATATGTATTGCTCCAAAGTCAATTAATGTCTACGTTACAGCTAGTCATGGCATACATCATTTGCTAAATCTATTTATTGAATTTTAATATATATATTTTCATAAAGAAGGCTATAAAGACAGCACTCTGGAGAATTCGGTGTTAATTGGCATTTTCCTTCCTTTAAGGTGGGTACATATAAATTTGCATCCTACATCCACCTTGGCTTACCCTCTTTTGTGTATACCAAAAGAAAAACCAACAAAGAAGAATGGAGAGAACTGGTACTCTGCTTTTCCTCATGTTGATTGTGCTTCTAGGAAATTCTTCGATTCATGCAGGTTCTCTCTCTCTCATGTCTTTGCATGGATGCCTTTTCTATCTATCTATCTATCTATATTTATCTAAAAGCAGATATCTATATATACTGTGAAATACGGCTTTCAAAATATGTCCTGAATTAGTAGATGCTATCAAAGTGTTGGGGTGCCACGTGCTAGAAGGAAGCGACTCAAAAACTACCTTTCCAACTGAATGCTAGGTTCTACTACGTTTCGAAATCATTCCTTTCACATGTTAACACATTTTTATTTCTATTTAATTTGCCCTGTACAGAGGAGCATTGCAACAGCTATGATTTCGCAAAGCTCGTATGCGTGAAGCCACTGTGTTACCTGAACTGCAAGATCTTCTTTCGGAAGCACCTGAGGAGCTACAGCTGCGAGGGCACCTGGCCACAACGCAAGTGTGTCTGCTACGCCTGCGATGACAATTAGACAACTCAGTCAATGGAGACAAGCACCATAATTGAACTGGGGAAATAACATTTGCTTATAGAAAGCATCTTGATCGTAGTGCATGTTTAACTGAATAACATGGAATTTTGAAGTCAGTATGATTTATATGTTATACATCTTGATTAGTTTTTGATGCATGGTCTGGAGGTAATATTATTAAATAAAATGTCAGGAGCTAATCATTTTTTTTCATTGCAGTTGGTGGATTGATTGATAATTAAATTTGAAAATGAAGTAGAGACAGATCGTACCATGCCTATATTGAGTGGAATATCTATCTAATTATATGTCCTCCAAACTTCATTTTGTTTTGTTTATCGGTGTTTTGCATGTGGACGGTGCACGATCAGGTCGATGGTTCTAGTGAATGACCGACGGTTCTGGTTATGCTACAAAATAGGATCAGATTAACCGGGAGCAGCGTGCACCGCGGGAATAACACGCGGTGCCGGGTATTGTCATCAGCATGCATCCCTCGAACGTAGTGGAATACGAACTGTTGTGGAAAACAAGCCAGCAATCCAGCAAAGCACTTCCAAAAACCTTATGAGTGCCTTCTCCCGATGTAGGGCGTTGAAGGCGAAGGTTCTGGAGACCTGCTCTCCGGGTTGTCAGTGCATGCCAACGAGCAATAGCGTAGTATAGAGGAGGAGGCAAACCTTCGATTGTTTTTGCGTGCTTTGCGAGAAGGCGACAGCGCGGCTTATATAGAGATAACATGACGCGTCATCAGGATGCCTGCATGAACTGCAAAGTGCGTAACCAAACCGGATAAGTCACACGTAACCAATATGGACTCCACGCTGCTCCACGCACATTAGGTTTCCAAAAATAAAAACCGAAGTTTGCAGCAAAACAAAACTATAAAAGGAAATCGCGTCTGCCTAAGCATGAGGAGCCAATTTTGGTGGACCATTTGTTTCTCTAGTTCTTTTCATCACACATGTCTCTAGACCTCCCTTTAGGGGAGGTCTCTCTGTTCTAGAATAAGCAAGCTGTACTAAAGGTTCACATCTAACCACTTCTCATGAGGAGGGTCTTTGTATTTTTTTTAAGTAATTATTCTCTAAGTCCAATAGCAACTACTTCGTCAACTTCCTAATCTGTCATGCTAGGCTAGATCGCCCTCCAAGCGATAAAATGTTGTAGTAGCCAGAATTCAAGGCAGCTATAGTGAGGAGCAGCATCAACAGGATGACAATACACATGTCGTCAATGTTGTTGACAGATGAGGTATGATGTTGTATCTGAGATGTCCGTGCCCGAACCATTTCATATAGTGTTATGTTGTGTTGGAGGGGCTTCTTCTTTTCTACTTCCATTGGTTGGTGTTGGCAAACGAAGGCACTAGGGGCGAAAAGTTATCAGATCGGATCGAATGGATCCAGTATTGACAAGGGCAGGGTGGCAAAGGAGCCAGTACGACGTGATAGAAATGTGGACTCGGGTTGCATATCAAGATCGATTCAACGTGGTTTTTGGTGCAACAGGAGTTGTCAGGAAGTAGAAGGTAGAATGTTAGTTTTCCAGTATTTTCTTCTTTTATTTGTTTTATCAGTTCTTAGTTATGTGACTTGGAATCTAAGTATTCATGTAACTTTTAGCTATGTATATCCACTTCTAGATATAGAGTATCACGATTTCTATCGATTATCTTAAAAACATATACTGGCTATCTGCATCTTCTTAACGTTTACATAAGAGCGGTCTAGATCTGTCTAGCTTGGAGCTATAGTTGTCATCTTTTTGATTGACATGAGAGTCAGCTACATAGTATACTTTATGACGTTCTGATATGCAGCCGTGCTTGTGCAGACAATTGCACACCCGTGCACTTCCATTTAGAAGCCTTTTGTATTGTTCTGCTATCTGCCATAGTAGAGTACATAAGCATTGTTGTACTTTGGCCACCATTGGGAGATACAAACAAATCCATCATGTGTGCCAACTCAATTAATTAATGCTTGTGTGCAACCGCAGCGATTTAATTTACTCTGATGACATATATAAGAGATTGTATAATTTCATATTGGTTTGTAATTAAGAACTTATCCTAATTATTTATACACTAACAGAAAACATGTAATTTTTTTATGTACAACGGATCGAATGTTTGCCTTGTACAATGGAGCAGCGTAGACTACGTATAATATATTACATGAAGAATTTTAATGATTTTGAGATGACAATTATAGAATGAAACATAGAGGGATATATCATCTGTGATGCATCATGTCCATGCATGGATAGTGGTTCTTAGGTTGCAGTGGCATTTTTAAAATTTGGCAAAGTTGCAGTGGCATGGATCTAATTAACCCTAAAAAATCATTAAATTACTAGTCGTTCTTCGCTAACCAGTGATAGGAAATATTTTACTAACCATAGTACGTGAATAATAATTTTTTTTACGATGGTTCATGCTAGTGCTATTGTTACAACCATTTTGTGAGTGATAAAATTACACGCATGTCAGTAATTCAGAACAAGTACAAAGGTTATACTGGTACTAACCAGGCTCGAGGCATGCAGCATCATTCCATCAAGTTTAATGACAACACCTCAATACATCAGCCTACAGGTCCACAGCACTCAATAGGAACCATATTACAGTTACAGGTAAGTTCAAGACTTCAAGTGTTCACACACAGTGACAAATACAAAATCATTACAACCAAAATGACATAAGTGGTTCTTAGGTTCCTTGCAGCCTCTAAGGATTTTCTCCAACAACACCAATTCAATTCATGAAAGCAAAATACATCCATCATCTTCTAGTCTCAATTCTCAAATAGCAAGTTCCTACATAAGTAGTTCAGTACACAAAGTAGAAACCACATTAGTTGTGCGTCACACTGACAATATTGACTAAGGAGGGAGAAATCAATTTATATTTTGTTGTTGCATAAGAGTGGCACAAGTGAATCGACAAACAATGTTCAAGAGAGAAGGAAGCAATAACCTGAAGACCAAAATGTAGCTTATTATTTGTCCTTCTCATCAATTGCAAAACAAAGAATTATAAAAGAAATAAAGAATTAGTTTGTAGTTAGAAGAAAATCAACTAATTTTATAACAACACAAGTGCAAATTATATATACCTTTGTACTTGTTTTGAACCCTTGTGAGCACATTAGAGCTTCTAACATCTTAGTAGTGAGCCGACTAAGATGCTCACTAAGGTCTCTCCCACTAGTGCTAAAGCTAATTCTGAAGCAACTGTGCTAACATGAATTGCAAATACTTCTCTATCTATCCTCCTCAAAATAGGGAACTGAGTTCTAGCCACCTTCCACCAATTTGAAACATTGAAATTATTTGTATGAATATCCACCAAATCATCATCCAAGTAATGGTCTAGATCTGGCCTTTTGGTTGCAGCACGGCACTAAAGGCTGGATAAGAAATCATTTGTGCCAACAAGTGAAGGTGTTGTTGATTTGGTGACATCTTCATCCTCCTTAACATGGTACTCACACATCAATTGAGCCATTGAAATTTTCATTTCATTAACCTTGTCCTTATGCATTCTTTACCAGTTGTACCAAGTAAAGACTCATAACACATAAGCAGAGTTAGAGTTTTAAAGCGAGGATCAAGAAGAGTTGCAATGCCCATTAGTTCTTGAATGTCTGACCAATACTTATCAAACTTGGTTACCACGTTAACAGACATGGCCTCTACTAATGGATTGCCACAAACTGACCACCACATAATTTTCTTTCTAATCTCAACAATCTTGGTGAAATAAATAATAGCAGTTACATACTCAGTTCTAGATAACATCTCAGTTATGTCATTAAACAATCTAAGCCTCTGCACAACATCCTCAGCAAACTTCCATTCTTTCTAACTTGGCAAAGACTCATATTACTTGTCTACACAGCTTGCTCTCATGAAAGCAGCCTTGTAGGGCACAGCAAAACTAAGCATTTTGAGAGTGGAATTCTATCTAGTCTTGCAATCAAGGGATATCTTTTTGTCTATAGTAACTTTAGCATACTTAGCTATCTCCTCAAATTTTTCTATCTTTTTTGGGGTGGATGTCCAATAAGCTACATTTCAACGGATGTTCTCAATTGCATCTTTCTACTCATCAAATCCGTCCTTTAAAATTAGATTAAGGATATGGGCAACACAACACATATGTAACACTTTCCCATCATTCATAAGCTTACTTTTGCTAGTATTTCTCACAAGCATAGGGATTACCACATCATAATCTGGAGTCCTAACCTGATTCCAATGGAGTCAAAGTGATGGCAATGATGTCGGTGACACTGCCATGGCTGGCCAGCAAGGGGAAGGGAGAGAGAAGAGAAGAAGAAATTGGGGAACAAGATGGAAAATATGACGGCGACAGCATGGTTCTAATTTTACCTATATTTGGATGGCATAGATATGAATACACGAATTATGATGGTATTTATCTAAAACAACACATTTATAATTCCATGGATCCAATTAACCCTTTTTTATAAACTTTCTCAAACTTAAAATAAGTTTGACTAAAAAGAGTCAAAGTGACACAATATGAAACGGATGGAGTATTATTCTTTAGACATATTGGACTTCAATAGATCCATACGGCGCAGCCCCTTACATTTCTATTGCTAGTATCCTGCATGCCACAACAAATATTTTGTCTGTAGTAAGTAGAATTATATATAAGAATAGAAGCATGATCGTCTTCTTTGGACAAGAAGCATGATCGTCTTCTTTGGACACTCCAAGATGGACACGAGAACGGCGCCTCTTTCCTTCCTCATAGTACTGATGCTAGTCACAAATTCTGCATCTGCTGGTTTGCCTCCTGTCTCCTTTTCTGCTTGTGATTCCCCCACCCATTTTGCTAGTGTTCTTCCATCACTTCTCTTGTAACTCTCATGTTGGGTATTTCAATAGTTCTCTTTGTAGCAAACCCCACATGGTCTAATAATCGCCAAAAAAACCACATGACCCCTTTTGATTCTACAGATTTATCAAACATGAGTTTCTTTGAGACATGCTTTAGGTAGTTGACTTAGACGAAGCATATAAGGATTCTTGTTTTTAATAATCGTATGCTAATAGGCAGTAGTTACTTGGGTTAGATTTCTTACCCCATTTTCTCTCTTCTTAATCCAATAACATGCACATTTCCTGTGGGTTCTCAATTATGCGATTCATTTTGCATACATTATACAAAAGTATATAATGATCACTTTTCTGATGAGGCCACATGTACACACATCTTTCTTTTACAGATGAATGCAACATAGTCACTGTGGATGTAACTTGGTGCACAAAGATTCTGTGCAAGCTTGGATGCATTGTATACAGGGCCTCGCACGGTGGGGGCAAAATTAAACAATATTGGTGTGAGGGCAGTTGGAAGGGAGGTGTATGTTATTGTGAAATGTGCCATGGGTGATATATCCATGGGCTGCCTGCTTTGTAGCTATATGCCATGAGAGTCAAACCAAGAATAAGAGACAAATAATAATATGTAATTTCCCATGACTGGTATGCATATATACAGTATGGAGATATGATGTGTTTTCCTCTTCCCATGTCATCATTTTGCATGGTTTTAGGTTCACAAAGGTGCCGTGATCAATACATATCTAGCTATCAGCTATGTATGGTTGTGTCGTCCACTTCTTCATGTCACCATTTCACTTTTTTTTTCTATGTTGGTATAAGAGTCGTCTATATATATTAGGATGTTTTGACATGTTTTAATCTGTGCATACACAGTTGTACACACATGTAGCCCTTTGTTATGTTCCATGATACACGGCTATGTTCTTCTGTTTTAGAACAATTCATAGTGGGAGAGCACAGCAGCACTTTTGTGCTTTGGTCTGCACCACTGGGAGATACAAACAAATATATGATGTATGCCAAGTTAATGTTTCTTTGGATTTAGCACTACCTGTTGAACCGAAATCATTTGGATAGGTGTGAGCTACATATATTAATCCAACCTCTTCGTACATATAATTCTTGTTGATAAAGGAGGTAAATATTTCCTAGTTTTTTATTCATGAAAGGTAAAAGTCACACTTATCAACATCTCCAATATTTTTTTATATAGTAGTACCAAAAAAACATTGCTTAGATTTACATTTTACTGCTCTACACTAGAATGCACTATAAAAGGATATCTAGGGATGAATATCAAAGGGATCAAGACAATGGATTTGCATACTGTCACATCCAGAAATTTAGCCCAAATCTCTAGAATATTCTGTGTATAAATCCCTGTCTAGGAATCAACCAGGGTACACAAAACGACAAATAAATATACAAATCCAAACGTAAATACTCCGTAAAGCATAAAATACTTAGAGAAGAGGCACTTAGTCCTCACACCGACAAGAAAACTGCAGCGGAAAAAGACGATTCTAGCAGGGCTTCAGCTCCACTCCACAGGCAAAACTCAACTGGGGTTATAAGCCTTGGTCCTCTAACTTCATCTTCAGCTCAGAAGCACTACACTTCTGAAAGGGGGAATACTAGCAAGGCTGAGTATAACCACCGTACTCAGCAAGCCACACCAATGATGCATTCGTGCAAGGGAAGACAAAGAGGGGTTTGTGGCTATTTGCATAAAGGCGGTTGTAAACATTTATAGTTGAAAACAGTAAAAAAGCAATATTGAATCTCCACTGAACAACGCTACCCCACGTTGAACAGGCCCAACCAAACCACCTGAACTACACCAGTTTATTAAGTCAAGTTAATTAATAGAGTGCGACTTATCACAGTGAGCTGGTTGATCACCCATAACCGTGGGCTCGGCTATTCAAATACTTTTACTCTGGCTAGAGGTGCACAACTATACCCACAAGACACAACCCACCGGCATGTTACTGCGCCCGGCCGGACAAGTCACCATGTCGATTGATTGTGACAAGACCCTTCGCATAACTCCCCCTAACCAATAGCACCCACTTCAAGTTTCCCCCCCCCCCCTCCTTTTAGCCAAGTCGAGCAGCCCCCTCTTGCGCCTTTGGTGAATCCAGAAGCAACATAGACCACAGCATGGCCCATCCATACTCCATCACGCCAACCCTTGCCTTGGTACGTTAGAAAGGGGAAAGTTATACTACAAGTCCAGCAGTTGCCCATTCTTGCTTATGGTAAGTGCGGTAAGTCTTCCAGGGATTCCCGAGAACCGGTCCTTAATTTCCATGGGTGCGACTTAGCAAAACCATGCACCCACAGCCCACCATTATGTCATATTTTAGTTGGAAAATTGCGACCAATGAAACATGGCCAGATGTCTCGAGCCTACGGCTCATCAAAATGCTAAGTGTGAGTAATGTAGTTATCCCATTTTGTGAGCTAGCGGTAATTAAGCATGTCTTAGCATATATAATTCTAGCTAGGTCAATATAAGAAACAAAGCCTAGTCAAATTATCACCCAAAGTTTGACAAAGGACGGATCACAAGTAAACACGGCACAATCGAGTAGATAGGTAATACCATAATCCCATGTAATTAGCAAAACAAGCAATTTTATTTGCAAACAGTAAAACATTTGTAAATTAGGTTTAACATGCTCAAGGGGAATGTGTGACTTGCCTTGCTTCTTCAAAAAACCTTCTGAACTCTTATCCTCGTGAACGCGATCTTCTTAAACGGCAGATTTTACACGCTGGCACGCAAAACTAGGAAAAACTCTAATAAAAACTAAATAAACAACACATAAAAGTAAACAAATATGTAGAACTCAATTTTAGATGAATTTTGCAAGCTGATTGGCTCAATTGGAGTTCGTATAAATTAGTTTTGAATTTTAGAAGTTTTGAGCCATTTAAATTAATTTCAGAAATTAAACCAAATTATGATGCAATTATTAATTATTTTCTCAAAGGAAAAGGACGGTGCTGACATCATCAAGGGTCCGGCGGGACACGCGGGCCCCATGAGTCAATGGCACAAGGAGGCAGCCCACGCTGAACTCGGTCCACTGCGGCTCGAGTGCGGGCGCACCACGTGGCAACCACGTGGCGGCCACGACATCCGGGTAGGGTGAGGTGATGCCGACATGGCGCTGAGGTGGCGCCAACATGGAACACCCACATGGTTGGCACAGATCAGCCAGAACCGATCAGGTGGCTGGGAGTGGCCAAGCGGAGTAGCAAGGCGGGCACGCATGACAGCGGCTGACTGATGGGCTGTAATAGACCCAGAAATTGTAAAGCCTTGAATACATATTATAATCAGTGAAATGGGGTCCCCTCTGTCTTTTGAGATTATTTTGCTCGTTTTTGGATTTTTCATGCATCCGTCAATTCATTCATATACATTGAAACTAGCTTGGAACGATTTTAATAATTAATATGTGTGTGAAAAAATCCTGGAAAAATTCACAAAATTACTATACATTATGGAATACCCTCAGTTAAATTGGCATTATTTTATCGGCTCATTTGGTACCTCAAATTATTTAGTCAAACCAGTCAAAAACTGGAATTAAAACATATCACTTAGTCCTCTTTCAAAATCTACCACAGCAAAACCATAAAGGGATCCTTGATCCTTGATCCTTGATCCAATCTTGTCCACTAAAGGTTGCAAATCAATCTTCTTCAATTTTCTGGTGTGCAGAGGCAACCCAAGGTATTTGCAGGGGAAGTTCTTTTTGTTTCCAGGGAAGAAGGTCAGAATGTTATCCAAATCTATATCAGAGCATGAGATTGGATAAATCTCAGTTTTACTCATATTGGTGTGTAGGCAACTAATTTGAGCGAAAAAAAGTAGAATCCTCTTCAAGGCTATTAGTTCATCTTCCGTTGGGAGCGCAAACAGGGCTACATCGTCAGCATACAAAGAACAACGGAAGCGTCCTTGTCGCTGACATAGATTGGAAATTATGTTTGCATCCTCTGCTGCCTTTATTATCTGATGAAGCGGCTCCATCACCAGTATGAATAGCATCGGGGATAAAGGATCTCCTTGTCTTAGTCCTCTTGCATGGAAAATATGATCTCCTGGGATGCCATTCAACAAGATTCTAGAAGAGCAACTGCCCAAGAGATTAGCAACCCAGTTAATCCATTTATGTCCAAAGCCAAAATGTTGAAAAGTTTCTAAAAGGTAGGCCCAATTAACTGAATCAAAAGCTCTTGAGATGTCCACTTTGATTAAGAGGGAAGCTTTCTTTTTCCTGTTTAACTGTTTAACCATATTTTGAGTGTACAGGAAATTATCATGGATTGCTCTCTTCCTAATAAAAGCACTCTGATTTTGTGAGACCAACTCATTGAGCTTGGGAGCTAATCTATTAGCTAGCATCTTTGAGATGATTTTAGCGAAACTATGAATGAGACTAATTGGCCTGTAGTCTTCCAGGCTGCGGACTTCCTCTTTTTTTGGGGATCAGACAGATATCTGCCAAGTTCAGGTCTTGCAGTCTGTGTGAGTGGAGATTCCCAAAATGAGTAATTGCCATCAAGAGGTCTGTCTTTATAATTTCCCATGCACACTTGAAGAAAGCACCGGTAAAGCCATCCGGCCCAGGGGCCTTTTCCGGCGCTAGGTTTAAGATTGCATCCTTAATCTCCTCTTCATCAAAATCTGCTTCCAACTCTGACAGATCAACTGATGGAAGGTTTATCCTTGCCCAATTTAGTCTGTTCAACCTTGTACCCGGCACTCCCAATCTGAGATTGAAAAATCTGTTTAGCTCAATCATTTTTTGATCCTTTGTAACAGCCAATCCAGATGGAGTTTCTAGTGAATGAATGTAATTCTTTCTTCTCCTAGAGTTAGCTTTTAAATGGAAGAATTTCGAATTAACATCCCCCGTTTTTAGCCATGTTAAACGAGAGCATTGCCGTATTCTGATTTTTTTCCATGCTAGCCAAGCCAAGAACCTTCAACTTTAGATCTTTTCGCAACTGATATTCCTCATCTGACAAAATTCTGGATTCTTGGGCTACCTCGAGTTGAAAAATAACTTCATTTGCAATTGCTAACCGAAGTTTAATGTCTCCAACATGAGTTCTGCTCCACCTCTTGAGATCCCTTCCTAGGCGACAAAGCTTTAGATGAAATTTTGCTAGTGGATTGGTAGCACCAATTGGTCTATTCCAGGATTGTGCAGTTACCTCCATGAAATCCGGCAACTTGAGCCAAAATGATTCAAAACGAAAGCTCTTATTTACTTCTCTAGGCTCACAGCCAACAATGAAAAGCGGTGCATGATCAGAGCTTGAGGAAGATAGAGCCGATATATGAGAAGAATCAAACATTAAATCCCAATCAGGTGTATGAAAAAGCTCTATCAATCTTTGTTTGGACTGGATTTCTTCCTTCTTTTGTCTAGGTAAAGTGACAGCCAGACAAGTTTAGCTCCTTGATTCCCAGACGATCAATGGTGCCTTTGAAACGTTGCATCATTCTTCTGTCAAGACGGTCATTATTTTTGTCAGTGGCTTTGTAGATTAGATTAAAGTCTCCAATAATTAATCACGCTGGTTGCATGTTTGGTTGTAGATCCTGAATCTCATTCAGAAATTGGACCTTCTGCTCTTCTAGTTGA